GTTATTTTTAATGCCTTTCCGTGTCCTTCCTCAGCTCTATCTCCCATTGTCCAATGTCACCATCCCGGCCTTCCAATAGGCCTCTCAAATGCATTATTCCACCCTTAAATCCCAGTATTTCATCCATCCCCAGCTTTCCAACTGAGTTCTGCTTGGGACAGAGCCCAGGTCTTTGTCTAATTGAAGTCCTTCCCCGACTGCAGATCCCACCCACTTCTCACCTCATTCCGTCAATGCCTCCTAATTAGTTACTTGTTCACCCTTTCCTCTGCACCTGTGAAGAAGTTCCATGTGTCTTTCCAATTTTCTTTTAAAGAAAACACCCCAGTCAGCTCTGTAAGTCCTTCTAACTTCCACTTTGTTGTACTTATTCTGTATTTAGCCGACAGTCTTGTCCCTTTCCCCCTCTCTCCCTTCCTTCCATGCAACAAATATTCATAAGGGATGTAGAAAGAAGGTTCTAGACTTCACGGAGCTGTCTTCCTCCTGGGAGGTGGGAATGACAAGAGTGATAAAAGTAGGAAGGCAGACAGGTTCGGATGATGTGCAGTGGAGAAACTAGAATGGGTAGTGTGGAAACTGTGGAGGCAGAGCGGCCGGGACTGTGACAGGAGGATCCCGAAACGGAGAAGGTGAGATCTTGAGTTGGGACTTCAGTGGTGAGAAGGATCTAGAACCTGGGCAGAGAATACCCCCAGACAGAGGGGAAAGAGATTGAAAAGTTTCTTCAGAGGCCAGAATAAACTTCCAGGTGCAAGGGAGTTGAAAGGAAAAGTACTCAGCTCCTGGCTGCCCCTCCTCAGTCCTCATCCTAGCCTCGAGGGCATCCCTGCCCCTTTTCTGAGGCCATTATGGGTGGGACCACCAGTAATCCTCCACAGACCCCAGCATGCCAGTGCCCACACCTTACTGAACCTTGGTGCAGTGCCTGGCACCGCTGAGAAATCCTCTGCCCATCACTGTGTTCTCTGACACTAGGGTCTTGAGCCTCCTCAAGCCTGTTATGGAAGGTGATGTTATCTTTGGCTCCTGAGTCTGTCTGTCTGTCTGTCTGTCTGTCTGTCTATCTATCTATCTATCTATCATCTATTTCCGTCTTCCTACCTATTCACCCAACTATATTTAATTGACAAATAATCATTGTAAACATTTATGTCATATCTGATGTTTTGATCTTTGCATACAATACAAAATAGAATGACTCATAATGGACATTTCCTTCATCTCACCAGTTTACCATGTGTCTGCGTTGAGAACATTAAAGCCTTATGTCTTATTAGTAGCTATGAATCTCCAGGCAGAGAAAACAGATCACTAATACTTCTGCCTGAGACTTGGTACTGTTGATCAATGTCTTTCTTTTCCCAGCCCTTCCACCTCCAGCCCCTGGGTTCCACCCTTGGCTACTATGAATTCAATTGTTTTAAATTCTATATATAAGTGAAAACATGCTGTGTTTATCTTTCTGTATTTGACTGTTTTCACTTAGCATCATGTTCTCTACCTCTAACCATGCTGTCATAAATGGCAATTTTTTTTCTTTAAAGGCTGAATTATATTCCATTATATATGTCCATTCCACACTTTCTTAATCCATTCATCTGTGACCCATTATCCATTGCAGGAGACTCAGGTTGCTCCACTATTCTGGCTATTTTCAATGATGCAACAATGATTCTGGGAGCTAGATTTACTAGCCTTCTTGGTCTATAGACTTCCTGGATAATCTCACCCATAGGTACAGCTTCAGCTTCTGTACTGGGAATAACCAGACCAATGTGTTGCCTATCTTTTGACTTCAAACCTACTCTCTTAGCTCCTCAAAGCAGCATAGCCAACACTTAACTCCCAGTCTTTCTCACCAGCATTTGGAGCCGCCTACATTCTTCTATTCCCTTCTCCTGCTAGGCCATTCTCCCACCAGTTCCTCTTCTATCCAGCCTCTTCTACCTTTCTACCAGCTCCTCTACCAGGAGTTGGGTCAGGGTGTGGTCATATCCTGCTGTACCAGGCAACTCCTTCCCCTTGGCTTCAGATCAGAATCATTCCTTGTCATCCACCCGTGCGCTCCTCTGCTCTGAAGTGATTGTACTCAAAGGCCTCATCTCACCCTGCTAAAACACCAGATTGGTGCTCCTGAGCTCCAGGACGGTCATCCCTGTGTGGACGACTTTGGGGGCCCAGGCAGTGTAGCCTTCCTTGGCTCTCCAGTGGCATCTCCCACAGCTCTCCTACACATAGCTACCTCTTATACTCTAGCCTTGCTGAACGGTAGCAAATCCTGCAAACATAACAAGCTGTTCTGTGTTTGTTTTGGTGGTTTTTCCCTTTCATTATCTGTACTTGGGCTTTGAGCCTTCCTTTGCATGCCTGCCCTGATTCCATAGTCTTGCCAGACACCCACACAATCTTGTGTTCTATCAAACTGCCCATACCTCCACCAGGTGGAGACGGTCTCCTTTCTGTTCTCCAACACCTAAGGCAGATTCTTGTATGTGCTTATTACATTATTTACACTTGTTTTGTTTATCTACGGGGCTTCTCTAATGTGTGAATTCAGCGCACACAGTTCTGTTCCTCTGTTTCCTCATTGAGAACTAGTAGTTTGAAAGAATAGACAGGCTTTGAAGCTAACTACTTAAGGTTTTCAAAGCAGGCCTTTGAGCGTCCAAAGCAATAACCCTTCTCTCTTCTGTGACTGGTTCCAGTGAGACTTCCCCAGCCTCCCTGCCGATGGGAGCCACGGAGCAGTATGCCTGTTACCCAAGGTAGCAGTGGAGGCTTGGGCAGAGGCCTTTGTTGCTGTGTCCAGCTCCTTCAGTCCCTCAGACTCACTGTCAATGCATTACTCATTGTGGATCTCAGGCAGGTCATGCAGATGATGGTAGGGAATCTATGGTACCAGACACTGCTCTGTGCACCTAAAAGAAGTCTAAGGCTGTTAAGACCTGGGCTGGTCTTAATAGGCAAAGCACGTAGAAGGGGAAGGTCAGAGAGAAGACCCTGGCAATGTGTGTGGAGATTAGGAAGTTCCATCAAAGAAAACAAGAGAGAAAGTGAGGAAGGAGGAAGTGGCTGGTGAGATGCTTTGAGTAGCTTCTTTCCCTGGAGGAGGTGGAATTTTGTAGCTGCTCCAAGACTGGGCAGTGCATGCTGAGCTGAGCTGGGGACTGAGAGAAGGAAGGAGCCGTGGAAGCATGGTGCTTTGTTCAATGTTACTAGCTAATTCTTTTTCCTGATGTTAAGAAACACCACCAGGGCTGGAAAAGTGGCTCAGTGGTAGAGTGTTTGCCTTGCATGCATGAGGCCCTGGGTTCAATTCCTCAGCACCACATAAGCAAACAAGTGGTGCTGTGGCTCAATTGGTAGAGCGCTAGCCTTGAGCTCAAGAGCTGAGGGGACAGCGCCCAGGCCCAGAGTTCAGGCCCCACGACTGAAAAAAAAACAAAAAAAAAGAAACATCACCATCACACCAATGATGTTAAGAACAGGGGGTGTTGGCCATGAGGGAAACCATCTGCTCTTTAGGGAGGGGATACGTTCAAGGAGCCCAAGGAGGGTCTTCCTCACTGTGGAGCTGAGGTGCTGAGGCCATGTCTTCAGCCTAACAAGTGACACAAATAGAATTTCAGGAACGAAGGCTGGAAAGGTTTCACGGGAACCTCAGAAAACCTCTCCTTGCCTTCTGTGTCTTGTGAATGCACCTGTTACAGTAGGCTGCCTGAGGAAGGACAGGAAAGGGGGAGGGGAGCATTATGGAGATTTACTGCTGGGCTCTTCATTTACTTGAGTCCCAGAAAGATGGAATTCTTCCCCCAGTAAATCTGCAGGGCAGGACTCCGAACCCAGGCCGTGTGGCTTGAGCTGTGTATTCTGGAGCTTGGAGCCTCTGCTTAGAAGGAAGGGGGCACGTAAGTACATGGGAGCCTCCCACCACACTGGAGACTTCACATGTTGCCTGCTTTCATGCTTCCAGAAGCTTCCTTGTATCTAGCAGCACCAACCTCCTCCAAGATGCCCTTAATAAATCACTTGTCTACAATGGCTCTAATTTCTAAGAGACAGTTTTTTGTGAAATGTTTTATTGTTATTGTAAAGGTAATATACAGAGGGGTGGCAGCTATATGTCAGGTAATGAGTGCATTTCTTTTTGGACAATGTTCCCCCTTCCCACATTTAAGAGATATTTTTAACATTTTTATTGGGAGGGCGGCTGGTCCTGGAGCTTGAACTCAGGGCCTGGGTGCTGAACCTGAGCTTTTTTGCTCAAGGTTAGTGCTCTACCACTTGAGCCACAGCTCCACTTCCAGCTTTTTTAGGCAGCTAATTGGAGATAAGACTGCCTGTGCTGATTTTGAACCTTGATCCTCGGATCTTAGTCTCCTTGTAGCTAGGATTACAAGCATGAGCTACCAGCATCCAACTCTTTTTTTTTTTTTCTTCTTAAGCAAGGTCTCAATTTGTAGCTAAGATTTACCTAGAATTCACAGTCCATTTGTCTCAGTTTCCCTAATGCTGGGATTATAGCCATATACCTACATATACCCCAATACATTTTCAGTACAATAATTTAAATATTATATTTCCAACATAATAATTTAACTATTTTTCTAATCATATCACAGAAACTGTGAATAATAGAAAAGAAATAAAAAAGCAAGAACACATCCCACTCTACATTATATGAACTTTATTTTCCCATATTTCCTAATAGTCTTTTCATGAGTGCACCTGAAAAATGAAAATACAGTTGTGCATCTAACATTACAAGCTTTTTCTCGAGTTTTTGTGCAGTCTCTATCACTGTAATTTTTTAAGTGATGGTATTTTTATGTGTTTTGGCGTATCAATGGAACATTTGCAGTTTTCTAATAATTGTGGGATATAGAGATCGACTATTAGTTTTTAAAGGCCATTTGTGCTCAAGTGTGGTTCTAAAAGGCTGCTCAGCAGCTAAGGGTAATTTCTTGAATTGTATCCCTTTGTCTTTCTGTTGACAGGGATCTACCGAACAGAAAGAGACAAAGGCACTTTGTACGAGCTCACCTTCAAAGGGGACCACAAACACGAATTCAAACGACTCATCTTGTTTCGGCCCTTTGGCCCTATCATGAAAGTGAAGAAAGAGAAACTCAACATGGCCAGCACACTTATCAACATCATCGTGCCGCTGGCAAAGAGGGTGGACAAGTTTCGGCAGTTCATGCAGAACTTCAGGTTGGTTGGGGTGCCCATTGTGTCTGCCTTGCTCCTCAGTCTCCCTCACCTCCCTTACCCCGGGTACACAGGCACCTTTGTCTTCCTGCTCTGTTCTGCTCTTCCTATGAAGTTTATCATTTGTATTATTTTTCTAAAGTCATTAGAACGTGCCTGATAGGCACATATACCTTCGGTGTGAAGCATGACCGGTAATCCCAACTATGTGGGTGTCAGTGGTTGGAGGATAGTGGTGTGAGACCAGCCATGGAGAAAAATGTGAGATCTTATCTAGAAAATAACTAAAAAAAACAGCTAAAAGGAGGAAAATGAAGCATCTTAACTCCCATTTAATAGTTCTCTGGGACACGGGGAGACGTAAAAGATATTTCAGGAGGCCTCAGTAAATTTGCTCAAGAGGTTTGAAACATAATTATCTTTCCCGTTTAAAAAAAAAAATCTCTTTCTTTCTTTTTGTAACGGGAGACATTCAAAGATAAAGACCCAGAGAAAAATCTATAGCTCTGTTATTAGGAGAACCTTCCTGCTATGAAACAAAGCACACAATGAAATAACAGATGAGCTTGAAATCAGTGGCAGAAAGGCTGAGGGAGATTTTGCAGCCAACGACAAACGTGAGGATGGTTTCAAAGGCCATGAAGGTGATTTTCGCTTAAGAGCAAGAAGAGCAGAGGGGCTGAGCCAGCATGCTTCCCGGCAATGGGCAGAAATAAACCAGGACCTGGGTTTGAGCTGGTGAGGCTCACATTCTCCTGATGAGGCCTCTCTGTGCGTGGCCACAGGTACAGGAGTCCTTATGATACCAAATGGCCACGTGAAGCCTGGGAGGGTCCCACATGCACCAGGAATGGACAATAAATAACAGCAGCAAGGAAGGGGCCTACTCCACTGAGCAGCCATGTGAGCAATGCTGAGCCCGGACACAGTATCTTGAATGCATCTCTGTGCCCTATAGAGTCATTATATGCACACACGCACGTGCACACTCTGTCCCTCAGTGTTAGGCTTAAGGCTAGTAGCATTCTACCACTTGAGCCACATCTCTACTTCTGGCTTTTAGAAGATAAGAGACTCATGGACATTCCAGCCAGGGTTGGCTTTGAACTTCCACCCTCAGATCACAATCTCCTGAGTAGCTAGGATTACAGGCATGAGCTACCAGTGCCTGGCTCCATCTGAGCTTTGGTTGGTTAATCTGCATATTTAAATTGCCCTGCTTTCTTAACTGGATAAAACAAATTCTGGACATTGGGCTAGCCAACCAGGCATATCTTAGATCCACATCTTTGATCTCTTGGCAATTGGCTTAGTTAATTTCAAACTCGTTTGTACCTTCCAAAATAGAAAGGAAGAGTAGGGAAGGGAAGGAGAGGGGAGGAGAAGAGAGGAAAAAGGAAAGAGAAAGGGAAAGAGAAATGGAAAAGGAAAGAGAAAGGGAAAGAGAAAGGGGAAGGGGGAGGGGAAGAACAGGTAATAGTTGGTACCTTGTCTGCTAATGTGAAAACAGGAACAAGACACCAGACATGTGTGTATTTTGTTTTCCAGGGAGATGTGCATCCAGCAAGATGGGAGAATTCATCTCACCGTTGTTTACTTTGGGAAAGAAGAAATGGATGAAGTAAAGGGAATCCTCGAGAACACGTCCAAGTGAGTAGAGTCTGGAGCGGTAAGAAGGAGTCATGGTAACCGCACTCACAGTGCATAACCCAGGCTGAATCTTACATTTCCTTTTGTTTTCCTCCACACTGTGGGCAAAACAGGAGATTGATTACTGGCTGTGTGTAGGGGAATTTAGAGCCCTCTCTCCCAGGGAGACCACCCTGTCTGACACTGGTCTTCATTGTGCACGGCTCATGTCTGTGACAGTGGAGATAAACTGCCTGAGCAGAAAATGTGAGGCACATAGGCTTCTGCAGGCATCTCTGAGTTCCTACATGACCAAAGGTGATCACTCTCAACGCTGCAGATGCTACACTTTCACATGGAGAGCAAAGAGCAACTCTGTGTGCAGTGAGCTCTGTGTCAGCCACAGCTTGAAAAGCTGAGTGATTGATATTTATGCTCAGATCTCATCTACTGTAGCAAATGGTCTCTCCCTTTGCCTTTCATTCATTATGCTCTTAGAGATGCTAAGGAGAAGCCAGGGGAGACGGCTGAGGCAGGATCGTTGATTAAACCTGCTCAGTTGAGCAAAATCTATATTGAGCCAAAACCTTTAGACCCAAGATTGTGTATTCATACCTCTTTGATCAATGGTGTTGGGGGAGGAGGGGGAGTAAATATATTCAAAGGCAGAGTAGACGGATATTTTTCTCTGTCAAAATAAATCAGTAACCCCACATGGCACCTTGTAGCAATGAAGAAGCCACAGTGGTACTGTCATACTCCACTTTGGTATGCGTGGATGTTTGCGGGCCTCAGCAGAGTGATCGGGTGGGTGGTTTGTCTATCAGTGATGCTTTGAGGATGATCGGTAGTAAATCTGAAGAAATTGTCACACCCATATGTGGTTGACATAAACAGGAGCCTCTCTTTTGCATTTCTGGCAAACAGCAGTAGGATGCTAGTGGAAGGATGAGGTCCCCAGATTGAGGGCCTGGTTTGGGATCGTTCCCAGGTGGTGGTACCCCTTGTATGCTGATGAACACAGGAGCAGAATGCTAATGATAACGTTTCAAACATTCTCAAGCAAAAGTCGCAGACTACAGCTTCCGGGTCAAAGTCTGCCCGTAAAGCAAGCTTCATTGGAATGTTGCGGTCCTATTTGTTTGCTTGTTTTCTGTGGCTGCTTGTATAGTTAGGTCCTTAACACTAAGACTTTAAGACTTACAGAGCCTAAACGATTTACTATAAGACCCTTGACAGAAAAGTATAGGTTCACTCCTGGGCTAAAGCAGTAAGGAGTTAAGAGTTAAAAGTAGTTAACAACTTAAAGCTAAGGGTTCATGTCCAAGGGAGATCAAAGAGAATGAAATAGTCAGATGTTCTAAAAGTAAGTGAAACAGAAATCTCTCAAGTCCAATGCCTTGCTGTAGCCTACTCTTCTCTGCTTAGGAATAGAGAGGGGGAATGATTCGAATTCATGTTTTGTGCACAGTGTACGGGTTTGAATGTCCCTGCCAGTGTCCTTTCCTGAACATAGTATATGATAAGTTTTATCCACAGTCATCTGAACATGGAGTTAGGTTTGAGAACCAGTGTAAGGGAAGGGATGGCTTACCCTGAGTTTACACCCAGAGCTACAGCCAGGTGCTACACCACAAGGTAGTGCAAGCATCTCTCAAGGTGACTCCAACATGCAGATAGAATTGACAGCTCCATTGATTGGCCTTGGCACTTCCTGATGGCCACATGCTTATAAATTAATGAGTCTAATGGATAAGCAGAAACTTTTGTAGACTTGTAGAAAATACTCTTTCTAGTGACTTCGGTACTTGTTTGTTTTTGTGATAGTACTAAGGATCAAACATGCTAGATGTTCTACCCCTAGAGCCACACCTCCAGTGTTTTTTTGCATTGAATGTTTTCAAGAGAGAGTCTCAGTTTATGCCTCTTCCTACTTGTGCTTCCCTGTGTGGCTGAGAATGACAGGCACATACCATTGCATCCGGTTGTTGCGCTTCCAGAGTTATTAGGGTGACAGGTGTGTACCACCATGCCAGCCATGGAGTCTCACAAACTTTTATGCCTGAGCTGTCCTCGATTCATTGCCTCCTGATCTATGTTTCCCAAGTAGCTAAAATTACAGGCATGAACCACTGAGCCCAGGTATGGTGTCCCTAACACCTGCGGCTGCAGCCTGATCTTCCCACAGTGTGGCATCCATGGATCAATCAGATTACCTAGGTCTGATCAACCAGCCTTAGTTGATGCCATACTTCTCCACAAATCTCCTCCTTCCATATGGATCTTCCTAGATCACCCATGACCTTGGCTTGGTTGCCCAAATTGGCTCTTAAGTCTCACCTTGTCATGAGGAATCAGTGCTCACAAGCAAACTGGGCACTGAGATTTCCCCTTCCACCTTTCGCCATTGGATTGTCCTCCACCTCCCTTTTCCATTCACTTGTCATCCTTCCATTCCTTCGAGTGTCACCCCTGGTACAGAGCTCCTCATGATTCCTCATCCCCCCCCCCCCCCCCCCCACACACACACGCCTCTTGTGTTCAGCATGTGGCATGTGATTTGATGACTTACGTTTCTTTTCTTTCTTTCTTTCTTTTTTGTCAGTCATGGGGCTTCAGCTCAGCGCCTGGGTGCTGTTCCTGAGCTCTTTTGCTGAAGGCTAGTGCTCTACAACTTGAGCCACAGCTCCACCACCAGCTTTTTCTGAGTAGTTTCTTAGAGATAAGAGTCTCTGATGAACTTTCCTGCCCAGGCTGGCATCAAACCACGATCCTCAGATTTCAGCCTCCTGAGTAGCTAGAATTACAGGCGTGAGCCACCGGTGCCCAGTGGTGATTTCTAGCTTCCTGACCTGGTGATAGATGAGAAGTTACCACACAGGTGAGGCTGTGTGTCACACTCTGCCACTGTAGCATGTAGGACAGACCTTACACATTATTCATCAAAGATAAGAACATAGTTCTACTTAGTAAACTTGGATACCTAATGATCTGTATGTAAACATACATAGATGAGGTTTTATTTCAGTACTTTCAGGTTTTTTGCTATACTAGGTTTTGAACCTAGGGCTCCACATTCTCTAGACAAATATTCTGCCTTCAGCCCCTTTTGCTCTGGTTAACTTTGAAATAGGATTTTGCTTTTTGCTCAGACTGGCTTAGGCCATCATTTTCCTAGGCATGCTTTCTTCAGTAGTTGGGCTGACAAGCACTTGTCACTACACCCAGTTTTGTTTTGTTTCTTTTTTGTTTTGTTTTGCATACTGTTTGCCGGGGCTGTCTTGGAACTGTGATCCTCCTCATCTCAGTTTTTGAAGTACCTGTGACAGATGATATGAGCCACAGGTTCCCAACTTGAAGCACCTTTCTGGCTCTTTTGTGCTGGTGAAACTTTTATTGGATGCATTTAATTTTGAATGATAATAGCTATTACTTGCATGAATTATCATATTCAGTATTTACAATAACTTTTTAAGATAGATGCCCTTATTAATCCTATTTCATAGATGAAGAAATGAGATTGTTCTTTAGGCTTTCATTGCAGGCATATGAGCAAACCTCCATCAGCAAACCCTACTTAGAGTCTAGGACTTACATTGTTAGCAACAGCAGACTTCTACCCTGTGTACCCCTCCTGAAAGCCATAATTGTTAGTCAAAGGTAATAAGATTTGTGATCAAATTAAATGAAATTTAGTTTCATTTGGAGATTCACATTTTAATTAAACCAGTCTAAATCTGGCAAAATGCAAATGTTTTAAGAATAACTAAAAATAAAATCTTGTTTAATAACTAGTTTGCTATGTTTTATACCCTCTCTCTCTCCTCTCTCTAAGTTTATGCTTACTCAATTGAGCTCTGCCTTTCAGTTGATTGCTATAGACCAATGTTTTGCAAACTCCACTTGGTGATTCATTAGAAGATTGTGAAATTGATTTAGTGGGCTGCGTCCAGTGTTTTTTGAAAAATGATATGAAGTAGAGTAGAAAATATCAGAGTGAATTGCAGAGAGTAAAGATAAATACCATCTCATGAAACTTTAATTTCAGTGGTATGCCTCTGTGTGTGTGTGTGTGTGTGTGTGTGTGTGTGTGCTGCATTGTTGTATAATATATCCTTATAAGGATTGTGTTTAGAATGTTTATAAGTCACTGCCATAGACAACAACAGTGCAAATCAGTTATCAACCTCTAATTCTTAATCTACAGATTTTTCCAAGCTTCACTTTATGCCAGAGGAAAAGCTTGCTTGCTTAGTAGTCCTCTATCTTTGGAAGTACTTGGGATGCTTTGTAAAATGCAGATTCCTGGGCCCTGGTTGTAATCATTCCAAGTTACTTTTCCCAAATGAAGCTGAGACCAAGTACCCCACACTCAGTACACTGCGAATGCTGTGCGGTCCCCGCGTGGAGACACAGCGACCTTGGTGGATATTTGGTTGGAGCCACAGCATAGAAAACTTTTAACTGTCATGTGTATTTGAATTGGCATGGGCTGACATTCCCTACATGACAAGCTCACTTTTGTCCAGTCATGAGGATACAGAGGCTTCTTTCAGGGGAATCATGTCTGAGATGGGTTCTAGAAAGATCTTCACTGCTCCGCCGTGGTGTGTGCAATGGATATGTTTGTTGTCAAGGACCTTCCTGGCGTTACTGTTTTATTTCATCCATATATCCTAGAAGAAAATGTAAAGAAAGGTTTTCTCCTCCTCCTCCTCCTCCTCCTCCTCCTCGTCGTCTTCTTCCTTTTCCTCCTCCTCCCTCCTTCTCCTCCTCTTTCTCTTCTTCTTCCTCCTTCTGAAATTTGAGTGGCATTCTTGTTTTGCTTGTGCTTTTTTCTTCCTTTTTATTAAACAGTGAACTTTTAGGTAAGAATTTCATTTGCACCCAAGTCAGGTGCCAGTGGCTCACACCTATAATCCTAACTACTCAGGAGGATTGTGGTTTAAAGTCAGCCTTGGCAGGAAAGTCTGTGAGATTAGCAGCCAGATAAGCCAGAAGTGGAGCTGTAGCTCAAGTGA